GCCTATGACCCCCGTCATGGCCGCTACCTAACTGTGGCTGCCATTTTTAGAGGTCGCATGTCCATGAGGGAGGTGGATGAGCAAATGTTCAACATTCAGAATAAGAACAGCAGCTACTTTGCTGAGTGGCTCCCTCACAACGTGAAAACAGCCGTCTGTGACATCCCACCCCGGGGGCTAAAAATGTCGGCCACCTTCATTGGTAACAACACAGCCATCCAAGAGCTCTTCAAACGCGTCTCCGAACAGTTTACCGCTATGTTCAGGCGCAAGGCCTTCCTGCACTGGTACACGGGCGAGGGCATGGATGAGATGGAGTTCACCGAGGCCGAGAGCAACCTTAACGACCTGGTGTCAGAATACCAGCAATACCAAGATGCCACAGCTGAGGAGGAGGAGTTTGAGGAGTGTGCTGAGGAGGAGGAGGAGGTAGCCTAGAAAATTCCTTTTCTCGGTAAAGGGGGAAGCAGTGTGGATTCTTTAGTGTGTTCTGATAACCATTGTCACTACACACTTCTTTGAGTCTTTATATCTCCTCCTGCATTTTAAAGCATTTTCATAGTAAGTAGTTTGGCCTAATAAAACATTCTTATAGCATCTGGTTTCACCTCCAACTTCTTTCTATAGGCCCTCTGGGTACTGCTTCCAGGTGGGCATAGCAGTCCTGCAAGGCTGCAGCTGTCTTGGGCTTCTCACATCCCAGGAACAAGCAGTCCAGTGGCTCCTGGAGGGGGTCAGCATGGGCTGTGGGCATGGCAGGCAGGCTTCATGTAAACTTGGGGCTGGCCTGGGCTTCAGATAGCTACTTGGTAGGAAACCCGTTTCTGAAGGCAAGCCTTGGTTTATCCTATTTACCGAACTTCCAGGGGACCAGCTGGGCCTCTGTTTCTGGAATTTTGTAAGTGGTTAGTGACCCTGGTAGATGATGTCCCCAACATATCATCTCAGGGTAGGAATGTGGTCAGACAGTTGGCCCTGAACCAGCGATGAAAGGTGAGCAAGTGGGGTTCCAGCCACCCCCTCGCCATAATGGCCTGGGTGTGTCTGTGTGGCCTCATTCTCTTAAGGAGGTGGGCATGGGGTATCTGGCAGGGGCTAGTGGGCAGGAATCTAGCCCACCATATACTCACATGCAGTGAACCCCCTATGGAAGGGAATTAGGTCCTGAAGGCCGTAGGTGCAGTTGCTGGCCTGCTTGCTTGGGGTAGTCTCTCTCCAAAGGCACAGATGGGGTTTCTGAACAGGGCCTGGGAGGATGGGCAGGTGCTCACACGTGCCGTTTTCCCGACTGGCAACCAGTGAGGAAAAAATGCCTGCATGGTCTGACCTGCGCTAGTCTGGAGGGCTGATGTTCTCCGGAAAGGTGGCTAATGGGCACTCTCCTGTCTGTCCCGCACTCCAACTTCAGGGCAATAATAATCCAAGATTGTCAGGATGAGACTGCTGAGGGTGGCACCTTTGGGGATAGGTTCTTTAGCCCAGCAGAGTCTCTTCCCCAGGCTTCTCAGCAGCCTGGACTTCAAGACCTGCTTTGAGGAAGCTGTCAAATAAGATGTGTGCATGAGCTGGGTGCTGGGCAGCATGCCAGGACAGTGCTCTTCTACCTGGCTCTTGTAGAACTTGTCCATGGCCTGTGTGATGACATCTTGGTAATTCTCCACCCCGTCATATCAGACAAGAGAAAACCAGTCTAGCCTGGGGGTGGGTAGAAGTACAGGTCCCACCCCAGGTCCCCTGGGCATACCCACCAGCCTCGGATGTGTCAGGGAAAACAGGTGAGGCTCCTTTTTATTGTCAACGTTGGCAATGGGCTATTGAGGGCAAATGAGACCAGGCAAAGAGGATAGCACCTCATCTTGAAAGAAGTTTCTCCTGGAAGCAGAGGGGAGATGGGAGAGGTTCCCCCATACTCCCCAACCTGTTCTTGGAGCAGGAAAAGGGGCCTCTCTGACAGCCCTCCTCAGTGGCTTTCACCCTTTGAGGGATGTCCTTGCCCAGCCCAGCCCAGGCACACATCCAGTTGGGAAGGTTCAGCTGCAGCAACCACCGGAACCTGCTCACACCTAGTGTCTCCACTCGAGCATGGGGTCAGATGCACCTTCCTCCTGTAGCAGTAGTGGTACAGCCGGAGTGGCAGAGGGGCAAGTCACTACTGCAATTCTCACCTGAGTCTAAGTAGGGGCCGGGCTTGGTACCCACGTATTTCCCAATTACCTGGTTCCATCTGAGGGTTTTATGGATAGGAGTGATGCTTTTCCAGGCATTGTATCCATACGCTAGCTACAGGCTTGGATTTCCAAAGTTTCTGGAGTCTCCCCCTTTCCAGCCTGGCAAACATGGCCAATAGTAGGGGAAGGACGTTAAGCCTGAAGGCAGCAGTACCTGTCTGGGTATGTTCTCTACCACTGGCAGCCCCTGGCCCCTAGTTGTTTACTTCCTTGGGTGAGAGTCAGCTTAGGATCTCAGTATTCTTATAGGATTTCAGAACTGTACAGATGGGGCCAAGGAGGGAGCAGCATCTGGAACAGGCAGCTAACCAGTGTAGTGGGGGTCATAGGACTCAGCTTGGTCTCAGCAGGGAATTCAGGGAGGCTTGGATTTACAGGAGCCCTAGATGAGCTTGGGCTTGGATATGGGGATGATGTGGAGCGGGGGCCCTTCTGCATGCTGGAGTCTTTGAGTAGTTGCACCCTGGTGCATCCACAGGTGTTCCCCACCTGGAGTGCAGCTGTGGATAGAAGCTGGCATCATCGTGGAGGGAAGAGGAGGAGGAGGCAGGAAGAGTCTCCAGGGCAGCCCCAGCAGCCAGGAAGGGACTCTGCAAGTGAGACGTAGATCTGGCCTGTGGGCCACTGAGCAGCTGCTTAGCCGGCTGTAGATCACCTGACCTCTGCTCACCAGTAAATGGGGGTTGCAGCAGCACTTACCTTCTGGGACTCCTGCAACTTAAAGGGAGAGCTGCAAAAAGAACAAAGCTGGAGGCATCATGCCACCTGACTTCAAACTATACTACAAAGCCACAGTAATCAAAACAGCATGGTACTGGTACCAAAAGAGAGATATAGATGAGTGAAACAGAACAGAGAATCATGTGCTGAGAATGCCCCTGACTCAGGCAAGCTTCTCCAACAGCACCACATCAGATTAACATCCAACCTATATAGGACAGCATCAGATCTCCCTATTCCTCATTGCAACTCTAATAAAAGGGAGTCTGTGTCCTAGGGGAGCAAGTACAGGCATATTTGTGCAGTGGGCACATGACTCAGATGGGGGAAACGTCCTTGGATACATGCTGGTTTCACTAGGAAGCTGTGGTGTGGGTTTGGCCTGGACTCCTGTACCCCTAGAGGCCAGTAGCCCCCTGCATGGGACCAGGACTGGGAGGTGGGTGGGTGGGCTGAGCTTTGAGGGAAGCCATTGTTTGGCCTCATGGGAAGGTGGTTGTTGATGGTTCAGTTTTGCAGGGCTTGTGTGATCACCCAAGGAGTGCAAATTGCCTTAAAAAAAAAAAAGCCAAAATTGACACGGGCTCACCAGTTGAAAAGGTGAGGAATGCTGGTAGTCGTCTTCACCTGCCTTTTCCCCAGAAGTAAGTGGTGTTCAGAGATGGATTTGGTTCCTTCCCAGCCTTTCCCCTTTGCATGTAGCTGTGTGCATGTACTCAGGTATATACACACACACGTTTCCTGGCGGGGTAACTTTTTTTGTTTGGGAGGAATAACTGGTGACGCAGCCTGGCATTTGCTTACCTTGTCTTTTAGTGTGGAGTCCTCTATAGAGTGGGCATCGGGTACTTACTAGCTGGCCTTAGCTCTTTGGCTGCCCCGGTTTCTGCTCTTCACAGACATGCTGGCCACACAGTGTGACATTCAGTGGGCTTATTCGCAGCTAGTATGATGAGACTAGTGAATAAGGTTGCAATTCTTTGGCAAGGAAATGGATGGTAGGTTAAAAAGAGCTTCAAATCAAAATTAATGGCAGAATAGCAAGATAAGAAGTTGGATATATTCTTCAAAGAAGTTCCTTTGTTATGACTGCATAGTATTCCATGGTGTATATGTGCCACCTTTTCTTTAGCCAGTTTCTTTTACAGACTTTGCCTGAGAGTGTGGAGATCAATACTCCCAGAGGCAAGACCATGTTAGCAGTGGAAGGGTGGGGGAGTTCCAGTGTTTAAGAAGTCCTTCTCTTACATCGACAACACTTCAGTCCATTCTTAGCTCTACTTTTGCTTTGTCAATGAGGCCATGACCGCAGGTAAATGTCCCCTTCAACCATTTCTTTTTGTTTGTCCTCCAGCTGTTAGTGACAGACCTTGCTTTAATAGGAAGCAAGGAGTAGGGCAGGAATTTCTCATCACACTGTGGGTGCATATCTTGTGTGCATGTGTGCAGAAGTATGTGCTTGGTTTGCTCCTGAAATTTTTGAGGTGAGCCTATGATCAAAAGCCAGACATAACAGTATTAAGCGAGTGGCCTGTGATTCTGAGTTATCTTTATGTCAGCATTCCTTTCTCAAGGTACTGAAAGAAGACATGTTTCCCTGCTTTCTAGAAAACCTCTGGTTAGGCATGAAGGGGAGAACCAACTGATTAGAGAACTGTTAGTTTTCAAAAGGCCTCATTGCCAGTGGAAAGGGGAGAAAGAGGAAAAATGACCCTGCAGAAATCAAATGCTCTGATGATTCATGCATTACTGGCAATTTTTTTGCATAAGAACTAAAAACTAAACACTGCTTGAGGCTCAGAATTTCTCAGGGGGAAAGGATAAAAGGTTATTTTCCTCTGAGGACAACACCTAATATTTGCACCACAGCGTAAAGTAGTTTTCACAAGTATTATTTTGTTTGCCCATTTTCATCCTCAGGCTGAATTAAACTTTACTTTTCATTTTTGATTGAATCTGTCTTTGCTTGACCAGTGGTTTGTAGTTCTTGAAGAGATCCTTCATATCCCTTGTTAGTTGTATTTTTAGGTATTTTATTCTCTTTGTAGCAATGGTGAATGGGAGTTCACTCATGATTTAGCTCTCTGATGGCTACTGTGGGTATATAGGAATGTTTGTGATTTTTACACATTGATTGTGTATCCTGAGACTTTGAAGTTGCTTATCAGCTTAAGGAGATTTTGGGCTGAGACGATGGGGTCTTCTAAATGTACAATTATGTCATCTGCAAGCAGAGAAAATTTGACTTCCTCTTTTCCTAATTGAATGCCCTTTATTTCTTTTTCTTGCCTGATTGCCCTGGCCAGAACTTCAATACTATGTTGAATAGGAGTGGTGAGAGAGGGCTGACAGAAGTTTTCTGAGTGACCCAGAAAGTTCTCAGTGTGAGATAATGATGGGGGATTCAATGAATCCATTACATCTCTGCTGGAATTGCTTTCTGGAGACTTTGAGATGTCAGGGTTGAAATGTCACACAGGAAGTCACTGGGCTGGAAGGTAACTAGAAGAGGTAGAGAGTTAGTCCCGATTTTGTACCTTGGTTCTGCCACTTACCAGTTCTGCTGCTCTTGTTAGGGAGATTATGTTAACATACCAGCACCAATAATAATCACTGAAGGTTATGAGTTCTATATAGTAAGTAGCATTT